TACGGCCAGAATGATGTGTGCTAAGTTTCGTGAAAATCGGTTGAGATATAGATATAGCTCCCATATATATTTTCGTCCGATTTTAGGTAAATGGTGCACCAAAGTCCCTACATATTATTCGATTTTCATTTTCAAATCTGCCCGATTGAAATTAAATTTAGCATAATTTGCATAATGCTTCCTTCGAGGGAACATTGACATGAAATTGTTAGGATACATGTGTACAATATACATAAAGTGGTGAAGGGTATCATATAGTCGGCCCAATCCGACTTTACTACTTTCCTTACTGGTTTTTAATTACAGCCTTGCAGCGGATATAGTTCATAAGCTCCTTACATCGCTGTTCTGGTATCTGGGCCCATGTTTCTTGAATTACAACCCATAGTTCGGCTTTTATTGTTGGTTTAGCATTGGCCACACAGTCGCCGGATTAAAATTCGGTGTTTGCGCAGGCCGTGGCATTACGTCAATACTTTCGGATTCAAATCATTCCTTTGCGAGTTTGCATGTAGGTTTAGGTTCATTATCCTGATAAAATGTCATTTTAATGAGCATTTCCTAACTGGCATATGGTTGCATACTATTGTTTAGGATATTAACACCCATCATTAATCATATCGATTGGCACTACGTCATAAAAACAGGCCCAAATGAATTCATTCTGATGAAACGAGCTGGTACTTGTGTCACCTACAACTATATAGAGAAAAATCTTTATGGTTCTCTGTTAAGACTACCTTCAGTTGAAATTGTTCTGTATAGACTTGCAGAATGTTCAAAAATAACCTATTTATGCCAATTTTACGACCGTTGTTTGTTATTGCACAAGGATTTTTAAATCATAGTGTGGCCAACATTTTCCATATTTTCCTTAGACTAAATCTTTTTGATAGAAAGATTTTAGAAGCTGAGAGGGTGCGTTAAAATGGCGTTAAGGACTTTGTTTAACTATAAAAAGGGAGCCCATGTCGTTCTTTTTTTCAATCCAAATATTTCACATTACGCTTGTCCGAGTTCCTTGGCAATCAACAGTGTCTGATTTATATACCTACACACCGATCATTACACCAAAGGATCCTTATTGTCTTTAAAGTATCAACTCTCCACATTCAACAGAATGGAGTCCGAGTCACTTGATTTCTATCATCCACTCCCTCCAAAATAACAGTCTTACTGCTAGGTGAGCTGGAGAAATCTGGTTTCGATAACCACCATATAAATTACTGATTAAAGAATTTTTTAATTTTGCTTTTGCAGGTACAATATTACAATAAAAACGGTAGAATCTATCTATCTACTATCCGAAGAGTTAACCACATGCTAAAGTAACTAGTGTCTAAAGGAGATTAATAGTTGTGAAAGGATTAATATTAATAATTAAATTATTATTGTGAATAATTTTTGAGGCTCCGAGCGTTGAGATCACATGGGCATATAAAGATCATACTTTAAACAGACCCCTTTAAATATATTTAAATTTATATTTATTTTTTATGGCTGGCAAGCCTTCATTCTTTTTGCATGAAAGTACAATTTGTTATTTAATTATGTTTAATAATATATAACTCAGGATATGTAATTTTTTGTCATCAGATACATATTGATGGCTTTTAAGGCTTTGTATTTTAAAATAAATAAATAAAACTGAAAAGAGACTTTAATATGTGAATATTAAATTTTATGAAACATTTACAGCCTGGTTTTGTAAAATTCGAAGCGAACCAATTCGAACAAATTACAGCCAAACCTTTATTTATGCCAAAGAATGCATTTTTCTTTTTGTTTCAAAACAAAAAAAAAACAAATTTTTCAAAAGCAAGCAGTCGTAAGTCAGTCGAATTCGAATTCGTTTAGAATTTTACAAAACAGTCAGTTACTTCTTAGAAATATAAATTAAACCCGATTCCGATTAATTTTGACCTTTTTGAAAAAATTTAATTGAAATCCTAAAGGAGCTTTAATATCATTAATTATTGCATGACATTACAAACAAAGACAGACAATGAAACGAATGCTACATATTACAGTATTAAGGAAAATCAGTTAAGCATTTACTATAATTTAATTGAAAACCAAAAATTGAAAGCTATAAACAAAAACCAGTTTCTGAAAATTTATAAAAACCCAATGATTTTGTTATTTTTAACAAATTAAAATGATTTAATAATATTAATAAAATGTCTATGATAACTCCAAAACTAAAACACCACACAGAATTGTTAAGTTTATAACACAAAATATATGTATGTAAATTTTCTGTTTGTAATTTAATTAAGATTTAATATAATTTTAATTATAAATTAATTTTCCAATTGAATTTATTTAATTATTACTGATAAAATGCGAATGTAATAACAAAATTATATATAAATTAATTAAAAGGAAAATATTATATAATTTAATAATACTACTAAGTTTAAATATAAAGCTGAAATGTAATAAAAAAATACATTATAATTAATTATGATTTATAATAACAAATAAACAGAAAATAAATATTATTTCTTTTAAGGTTGGTATATGATCTGATAAACACAACAACCTATGTTAAATTATCAATTCGCAAAAGTTTTGGATTGAAATGGTTGAGAAAGGTGTACCTAGAACGTTCATGTCATCATCAAAATGTCTTGTCAATGATGTACGCCTTTGCCATACCAAAACATCCATAATATAATAATGATATAAAAGCTAAAAACTAAATATGTATGAGTAAAATTTTAGTTAAATGTTATCAAATACAAAATGTAAAAAACCAAACAAGAAAGAAAAATTATCTTTTGAAAACAAATAAAAGATGAAATTAATGTAAATGTTAGAAACAATTTAATAAAGATGATGAAAAACAATCAAATAATATATGAAATGAAAATACATGAGAAAAGTGAGTTTTATTCCAAGAGGTTTGCATTATGTAACATATAAAATCGATCAGACCCAGTTGGTACGCGTTTATATGAAATATAAATATATGATTATTCTATGGACAATTCTAAGCAATTTTGGTGAAGAAACCATAGGTCTATCTCGATTTTCGAGTCTCCCACTTTTCAAAAAGTGATTTTAAATGACCGATATTATGTTTGTAGATCACCCAAATCTAAATTGTACAAAATATAGTATCATTTTCACTCCAACAGTAATCTTAATTCTAAATTTCAGGACTCCAACACTATCGGTCGGTTCGAAATTATATCGAAGTTAGTACACATTAATATAAATTTTCATAACTACCTACCACGAAAATTCCAACAGACATCGTATTTCTCAATCCCAAATCCAAATTGCACGAAATTTAGTGTCATTTATCACGAATTTCCAAAACTTCCTACATAACATAATCCTATATTTCAACAGTAATGCTAATTTCAAATTTCAGGATTCCAGATCCATCGGTTTACCTATATCCAACTTGTATCAGATATAGTACCATTAAGAACAAATTTCCAAAACTACATCCATACCCCAATCCGACACTCCAACAGTAATTTTAATTATATATTGAGAATTCCATCTCTACCATATCACCTAAATACAAAATTGTATCAAATGTAGTACTGTTTAGTACCACTTCATTATGTCGACCATTGTACCAAATTTAATACATTTTAGAACTTTTCGTACACTTATAGTTAGAATTTCAAAAAAAAAAAAAAAAAAAAACCATTTGATATATCTATCCATCTGTGACCCTCATTCCAAATTTAATAATTTTAGCTATACCGGTTCCTCAAATTAAAATAGTACCATAGTTATTTATTGTACTTTTTGTGCCGTCCTAGTACGAATTTTAAATAACCCAGCCTTATCTGACACCTTTGAATTTCACCTCCAAGATTCTAACTGACTACAAGAACTAAAATTTTACTATCTACACTCCAACAGCTTCAATTTGCCTCAGTAAACTTTAAAAATCATTGAGAAATACCAAGATACCAGCGGAAGATGGGAACAAGTCAAGTTTAGGAGCTCCACTTGGATCGGATTTTTAACATAAGTAGTTCTTGTTGAGATGATATACATTTTATGTGGGAAAAATGCATACTTCCCGAGATATTGGCCTTGAAAATTTGGACATATTTTATAACAGCCGTTTTGCCGTTGCCACCAATTCAATTAAATCCCAATTAAAATTAAATTAAAAACCAATTAAAACTATTTAAACATGTCTGCGCCTCTTGGGCTGAGGAACTTCTTCATCATCTTCGCTAAAATCCTCGGGACAACTTACTTCCAACTCTATTGGGGTCTCAGTCAAACCACCTTTAATTCCTCCGGTTCGCTGTTGACTAGTTGACTTAGTTGGATCTTACAGCTGAACAGCAAATCCAAGCAATTCAAGGCAAGAGTTTTTCTGATTCGCTCGGCACCATCTCAACCAACCAACCGGCAGTTGGTATACTCACCCCCGTTTCCTTCATTATATCCGATAACGGACCTCTTCGGTCAACCTACATGAAGGAAACACGATGATGTAGTAGATGGACAAGTGCAATTTTCAGAAGAGCGTTCCTTTTTGAAAGAAACGCTTGAAATTGGACTTGATATTCCGCCATCGAGAAAACGCTTCTCACTTCTACAAAAAATAATTTTATTTTTTTATTTCAAAATACCAGCCGGAGGTATCAGTCCCCCTCCTGTTATTTAAAATTTTACCAATTCGAACATTTTTTCCACCATTTTGCACATTTAACGACACTTTTTGTCATACTCTTATAAGGAAAAATGCAAATCACCCTTACACATCAAATCGATAAACAGCCCAACGAGGACTACTTACGTTAAAAATTCGATCCGAGTGAAGCCCCTAAACTTGACTGAAGCCGGAAGTGGTTGCAGCTTATTAATAAAATAACCTGAACAACATGGAGATTTCGATTTTTAATTTCTGTTCTAAAGTCTACTTTATTTAAAAATATACGAATTTCTTTACCTACAATAAATTAGTCTTATCGATATAGTATGTAGTAATTACATCTCCGCCATACAGCGAACACTTAGTATCTGTATTTCGTTGAATAATCTTTGGGAGATACAACCAGACCACGACCTTTTCTTGCTCCTCGATACACTGTCTCCACAATATCAATCATTTCTTGTTTATCTTCCAGTGGCCAATTGATTTTGTTATTATTACCCGTTCCCAAATCGATCATAATGTGTTTGTTGCGGAAGAAGAACATCACCGTGCATGGGTCGTACAATTCATACATTTTGTTGAAATCAGGAACCTCCGTAATATCGACCAAATAAATCACAGCGAAATTTTTCACTTTCTCCGCAATGCTGTAGAGAACTTCATCCATTTTCATGCATGCAGGATCCCAATCGTGACCAAAACGAATTACCTGCATATAGAAGGGACGAGTGTCAGTGAGTGGTTAGTGGTAGTGGCGGCAAAGAAAGATCGAGATGAATCTGGAACAATGGTATGCAACTTACCACAACTCTATCTTCCTCCGAAAGAATGGCCTGGTCCACCTGCCAGCCATTGTGTAAATGTGGTAACATATAAGACATGGTGCAGCTTCGATTATTTTACCTTTTCCAAAATCTTAAATGTGCAGTAGCTCTGTGCTCTGTTGATGGTTGATGAAATGAAATGACGTCTATACAAAGCCTTGAGAGAAACACAACGCCGTAACGAAGGGGAACTAGTGAAAATCACCGACGAACAGCAGGAATCAAAACAAAGGCGGTAACAGTTTGAATTTTGTATTTTATATATGAAATACAATAGGATGATTTAAATTTTCCTTAGAACAGGATCTCCTCCGTGAAAGGACGAATATTTTGCCGTTTTGTACTTATCCAACTGCTACGATAAATGTTTATAAACGTCTACTTCGTTTATAAACGTTTACTTATAATACTGAAGAAACATTGAAAAACGTTCCACCTGTTACGAATGGGATGGGATAAGACAAAATTCCCGATAAAGAAGAAGTCAAAAAAGAAGACGGAAAGTTACGAATGAGGTGGGATGGAGATTAAAAAGGAGTTGGTGATGATAGGGCTTTAAAAGTCGACTTCGATTTATTTACATATCGAAAAAATCGAATATGCCTAAATAACGACAATGCTGCCAAGTTGTTGTAAATTAACTCTGCTAGATGTCGCTTAAACTGTTCTCATATTTGTATACTCTTTTCCCGAAACTGTTGAAAATATTTCAGATATTTTCCTCTAACATTTTAAGATTTGTGTATTTTCTGTAAGCGAGTTACACCAAATTTATGACATACATTTTCGATATTATCTTCAGTATTTCTACAACGAACGCGTATAGATGTATATAATTAATTGTATTTATTTTAGTAGTGATGAAATATTTCAGAAAGGATAGAAGTAGGACGGGGCCGCAACGCATTTAATTGTTTACTTACTTACGCGGGAATGTCATAGGTTGGGGAAAGAGAAATGCATCGAAAATGTCTATAAAATCGGAGAAATGATCGAAGTTGATCTGGGCTATGATACGACTTCTAACATGAGTTAGACCTTAAAACTGTTTAAACTTTTACTTTACACAAAGCTGTATTCAAAAAGAAGCTCGATGTTTGGGTGCCACATAAATTAACTGAAAATCAGTAAGGCAAGTAGTAAAGTCGGACGGGCCGACTATATGAAATTTGATCCATAAACATGTCATTCCTCAACCTATACTAAATTTTTCATTTGGTCAGATATAGAGTTGCTTCTTACAATGGAACAAAAAATATGTAAATAAATTTAAAGAAAACATCAATCGGACACCCGTTGATTATTTGGATAAATATTTGATAAACATGAGAAGTTTGGTGCACCATTTACTTAAAATCTGAAGAAAATATATATAAAAGCTATATCGCAATCTAAACAGATTTCATCGAAACTTATCACAGGTTAGGTTATACTAATTTCAGTATGTTTTGTGCATATCGGCCACATTTTGAGTTCTTCGTGCATCATTTACATAAAATGGGGAGCTCTATCCAAATTTGAACCGATTTCAACAAAATCCTCATGCTAGGATATATTAACAAAGACATACAATCTTAAAGACATGACAAGACGCATTTTCCAATATTAGTGTCAAATTTGTGCTATAGAGGGCTACACATTTTAATGGAAAATTCACTTTTTGAAGTTCTCTCACCAAAAAATACTTAACAGCAATGTTATTTATTTAGAACAATATGGTAACCAAAGTGAAGTTTGAGAATGCATGAAATTATTATTTGCGTGCTTTATTTGAAGAATTTAAATCAATTGCCGTCTTCTCTGCCAAAGTTCATCTTTAAGTCAGTAGTCACACGAGCAAAATTTCATGACAAATTTTCTCCTAAATTTCTTTAACAATTTCATTGTTGTTTAGACACGCAAAATAACTCTTGCATCAAATTTATGAATTTTCTAATTCTTCCACACACTCATTTTCTCGTTTGACCATTGTTCATGAAAATTAAAAAATTGAATTAAGGGAACCCCCCCATTCTCAATTTTTTATTTTTAAGATTTTAAATGGGCTGGTAAATGAATACCAATGCTTGTTAAGGTTTGTAACTTTGCACATATATATTTGAAGATTTAAAAAGGAAGAAAAATAATTTACAAAAAATTTTTGTTGTTGTTTTTTGTGATCAAAGAAAACTCCTTATTTTTGATGGCGGGCAAGATAACTCCTCACTGGAACATCGGAATCCGAAAATTCCAACGGTGTTAGAAAGAGTACATGTCTGGCTCTCGTATGAACTAGGATTATTGACTTCGCTCTAAAATTAACAAAATGGCGGACTTTTGAAAAAATATTTTTTGAAAAACGCCGATTTTTTACCAAAAACCAAGTTAAAAAATAAGGAAGATCTTCACCGATTGGCTTTATCCTAGTTCATACGATAGCTATACACTCACAGAGAAACGTGTAAAAATTTAAAATCGATTGGGTTATTAGTTTTTGAGTTATCGTGCCCGCCATTCGCAAAAAAATGTTTAGAGAAAAACGCGTTTAAAGTTTGAGAAGCCCTTCAGCCGTCACTTGATGCTGACACATCTTCAAGAGTTCTTGAGATTTTTACTTGAAATTTTGCAGGGACATTCTTGAATTAGTGTAGATTGGAATTAAGTCAACAAAAATTTTGACCCCGAGAATGGGGGGGTCCCCTTAAAAGAAAAAAAAAAAATTATAAAAGGAACTCCTGAATTACTCGACAGACATATTATGTGTTTTTTTCCTCGCAAAAGGTTTTAATTTTATTAACTGCCTTGGCGTTTGTTTGCCGACAGAAAACATAAAATGAAAGAAAATGCAAAACTTTTCTGCAGCGGAGTACATGTATGTACCCCCTTTTATTCCTCTCACCTCTTTCGCCCATAAACTCAATTTACTTTACCACAAAATTTGCCTTTACCACAACATTGCGAACAGTCGTGACCCCATTGTCATGGGTGTAATGGTCGAAAATGGTATTGTGAAAGTTGGTACACCGATTTTTGTGCCGAGCAAGGAGTTTGTCGATATTGGCATTGTCACCTCAATCGAATCAAATCACAAACAATTGGAAACGGCTCGCAAAGGTCAAGAGATTTGGGATAAAATTGAACCCATTACCCGGTGAATCACCAAAAATGTTTGGCCGTCATTTTGAAGCTGACTTCCGTGATGATTTAATTAAGGCTGATTGGGCTCTAATGCTTGAACTGAAGAAACTTTTCCAAAATTTATAAATTTTTAATTTGTTGCAATATATTTATTTCCTGCTGATGTGGATGCCTCAAGATGATGATGCGGATTTAAATAATGACCCATGAATACAAAAATTACAATGCTTTCAGTATACCCTACACAAGTATGTTGTCAGGGTAGGTATTATAGCTTTGTGCACCCCCAAGAGTTTGTAACGTCGCGAAATGTTGGTCCTAGATCCACCGTTAAGTATACCGATCCTCATATCTCGACTAGCTGAGTCGATCTAGACATGAGTGGCCGTCCGTCTGTCTATTATTATTTGTAACCACGATACAGGCCAGTTATGGACCAATCTTCACGAAATTTTGCATGTAGGATGGATTCTTCTGGCCAATGAAGATTCCTATGGTTTTTGGTAAAGATCAGTTGATATTAAGGGGATGAAATGGACCAAATACTTTATTTTTTGTTGGTTTCTGGTAGCTCCTAAGGCCGCAATTCTGACCCCAACATTGCGAATTTTTACACAGAGAATGAGATCGGGGTAAAGAATAAACATGCCAGTTTTGATAAAGATCGGTCAATATTGAGCGGGTCAAATGAACCCAGGCTTTTGTGTGAAAAATTACAAAACTTGTGTTCTATAGCGAATAGAGTGGTTGACCTTTAAATTGATACAAATTATATTATATTAAATATTAACTGGTGCTTAGGCATTCAAATATTATTTAGTAAACCATTACCACACTGGAGGGCGGAAATATAGCGGTGGGCTGAATATATATGAAGGGCTGTACTGAATATTTGTAATATTTGCTGATCTTAAGCTCAGAATATAGAACTACAGGAAGTCAAATTTAGAATAGAAGTTGTGTAGGGATTCATATGGTAGGCCCCGCCCGACTATACTGCTCCGCTTACTGGTTTTAATCTATGTTTTATAGTTATGCCTAAAATTTCCTCCGTCACTTCAAAGTTTTATTTCCTCTTAAAAAATCCAAAAAATAAAAACACACAAAATTATTAAGTGATTGAAAAAAAAAATCATTTATTGCAATAAATAAACAATTGTACAATAACAAAAAAGTATAAAAAATGTTTTATTATTAATTGGGTACTAACAAACCGATTGGATTATTAGTTTATGAGATATCGTGCCCGCCATTCGCAAAGCACTGCTTCGAGAAAAATGCGTTAAAAATGTTTGAGAATCACTCTTGCCGTCACTTGATGCTAACACAATAAATCGGCTATATCTTCAATAGTAGATTCGAATTAAATCAAAAAAATTTTGACACCGAGTATGGGGGACTTTGGTGCATCTGTTACATAAAATCTGACAAAACTATATATGAGAGTTATACCTAAATTTGAACCGATTTTCTCGAAACTTAGCACATATCATTTTGGACATAATTCAGTACCCCATTCTGGACCTAATTCAGTACCCTAGTTCGTGCAAATCGAAATATATGAAGGGACTTTGATGTCCCATTTACCTTAAATCGGACGAAAATATATATAGGAGCTATATCTAAATCTGAACTGATTTTCTCGAAACTTTGCACATACCATTCTGGACCTTATTCAGTACCCTATGTCAAATTTCGAGCAAATCGAAAATTATATAGGAACTTTGGTACACTCTGGTTCAATAGGGTTCGTCCTTGGGCCAAATAAGTGAGCTGTGCCAAATTTCATCCAAATCGGATCATAAATGCGACCTGTACTTTGTTTACAATTTAACATCTACAGACGCATGGACATGCATAAATCGGTTTACAATCACACATTCTAATCACACATTTAAAACGATTCTATGGCGTAGGAGAAAATCTTCAAATTACTAAAAACATAAATTCTATGTTA